ATAGCACTATATTGTAGACAGATTGGAGATTAATCCTAATAAACATGCCGCTACAATTAAAACCATTACATTAAAATACATTTAAAACAGTGTATTTCAATAATTTCAGCAGCGTGCAGATCCTCGTTTATGTCAGACTGTGGCGACAGCAGCGCGGACAGTCGCTTAGCTCGCTCACATAATATATCGTTATTACGAGAAAAAATATGTCGTTTTAACGAGAAAAGATGTCGTTTTAACGAGAAAACATGTCATTATTACGAGAAAAGATGTCGTTTTAATGAGAAAAGATGTCATTAAAACAACATAACATCTCGTTATTACCACATAATTGAGTGGAAAAAAATAATATGTGTGTGGCAGCAATGCGTCACCGTATATTTGCGTCTCAAATGCTTTAGTTTTTTTTCTCTTTGCGAATACAAACACTTCATTAAACTCTGGTCCTCTAGAGGTAAAGGAATCTGATAACGCTTAACCTCACGAAGACTGCGATCAATTAGTAGCAGGTTCATAATTGATGAGGAACAGGAGTGAGCTGCGCCGTACCTTCAGCTCCGGCATGCTGCCGATCAGCTCGTAGGGCAAACGCACTTCCGGTTGGTTCGTGTAGTCCAGCGGCACGAGCTGCGGAGCCAGATCTCGGTATCGATGAAACAGTCTGAGGAAAGATGCCAAATATTAATTGATAACTCTTCTCAACTATTCCGCTGCTACCTAAGTCTATAATATAACATCTTTAGTAGTTACAGCTCAGATGCCTTTTTAATTGTACTAAGTAGCTTCCTCACCTCAGAATTTCTTTTCTGGTGAAATAAGTGCAGTCCTACAAAAGAAGAGAAAAGAAGATTCACTAAGCAGCATTTCAACTCAGTATTATTCTAAACATAGATATTTTTAGGATTCAAAGGTCACTTCATGCAAGTGTTTTATAATTCTGTGAGGAAAAAATTATAATGAGGTGCAAAGCATGCATACATGTTCATGAATAATGTAATTTTTAAATGTATTTTAAAATAGATGCAGGTGAGACTATTGTTCAAAAGTTTGGGGTTATTAAGTTTAAGTTTAACATTGATAATAATCAGAAATGTTTCTTGAGCAGCAAATCAGCATATTAGAATGATTTCTGAAGATCATGTGACACTGAAGACTGGAGTAATGATGCTGAAAATTCATATTTGATCACAGAAATAAATTAAGTTTTACACTATGTTCAATTAGAAAATAGTTATATTAAATTGAAATAATATTTCACAATATTACAGTTTTTACTGTATTTTTGATCAAATAAATGCAGCCTTGGTGAGCAGAAGAGACTTTTGAACAGTAGTGTGCTATCAAAAATGATGCCTGACCTGATATGCGTCCAGTTGCTGGGATGTAAAGATGGTCTGTTTGTTCCCCATTCTTGCAGCTCCATGGCAAACTGGCTCTCGACTGCAGCCGAATGGCAGCAGATATTTCAGATATGAAATACAGGCACAAAAGGCTGCAGTGAGAAATGGCAGATCAGGTGTCGGCCGCTGCGAGGCCTTTAGTTCTCTGATAATGGCAGCATTTCATCATTTAGCTGCTGTGAATGGCGGTCTCGCTTGGACATGAATGTGTCCTGTCGGTCAGGGGAGAGCGGGGGAGACATCCGAGCGTCAGATTACTGACCCGTTCACATGCTGGGAACGCTGGAAATATGCTGCTACGGTGAAGTGATGTACAACAATATTCAATGTTCATTTTCACAGAATTATTGTGTGATAGAGAGTAGTTCAAGGGCACATGAACAGATTTCTACTGTACAACACTGGACAACAAGACCTTGGAAGAACAAACCGACTCCTCCAAAAAACTATACATCACTTTCTTTCTGTTGAAAATGTCACCGCCTATTAAAAGAAAAACAAATTATACTTGATAAAATAAAATTACACAAACAAACAAATAAATACATAATAATGTATCAAATAAAATGAGTACATTTGGAACAATCAAAATATTAAGGATTTATATGACAATTAAGCATTTTTTTCTGTCCCAAATACTCATTATTAATTTTGTTTTATTTATATACTTTTATAGTTTATATTAATATTTAGAAATTTTAGTTTTAGTGTATTTTTTAAACTAAGGAAAAAGGAAGAAAAATTTATAAAATAAAAAAGACTTAAAAAGACATAAATAGGCATGTTTTATGTCCCAAATACTCTTACACCTTTTTGTGTTATTTGTATACCATTATAGTTTTCATTAATACTTTGAATTAGATTTTAGTTTTTAACTTTTAGTTTAGATTTTAGTCATTTTGTTTTTGTTTTTTTGTAAGTTTGTAATTTTTTTATATTTCGGAAATTGTTTGTTTTTATTTCACTTTTAGTAATTTAGTTCTTCACCTTAAACTTATTTCAGTTACTTGCCAAGGCAACATTTATACTTTTCTTTTTTTTTCATCATTTTCATCTAATTTTAATTTCAACTTTATATCAATTAACAAAATGTTTTTTTGTGTGTGTTTGAAATAGTTTAACAATAACACTGCGAATTACTGTAATGTTTATGAACATTTCATATTTGACTTTTTCCCCCATTATTTTCAATGATGACTCTTATTTCTTTCTTTTTGAGGAGCGAAATGTGACCCAGTCATGAGTTTTGTGAGAAACTCTCTCTTCATGCTGGTTTCAGTCATTTTAAAGCGTTTTGTCTAGAGATCTCATGGAAAGCAGCCTGGTGTATTGTGTTCATATCGGCAAATGCATCTCAATTATGGCATTAAATATGCAAGCACTGGTGCATCAGCGCACTATTGTGAGTTGACTTGGTTGGCACAGAGGCTGAACGGTATCAGTTGATCTGGCAGCTGTTTACCTGCTGTTCTTTTACTTTCTCTCTGGGTAACAGCTCTCATCTCTACCTGTCAGCTGCTGTTTTTGTTGGCACTTTTCCATGAGCTCTGGGAAAACATGTCTGGACAGAGTCAGAGCAGATGCTGCAGATCAGCCTAAAGTTACTACATGTTATATTCATGTTACGTTTGTATTTCTTTGTTTTGGACCATTTTTTTCTGCTTTATCTGTCACCATCTTCTGGTGATGTTTGGATCTGCAGCTCAACACTGTAAAAAATGACCATGAATTTAACGGTAAAAGACTGTAAAAATGCTACAGTAAAAACCTGTTAAATGGTTAACGGTAAATTCCCCTACTATATACAGTGAAAAACTGTATTGGACATTACATGTATTGGACATTAATTTTACGGTAGTATACCGTTTTTGGAAGTGAAAAAGACTGTATAATTTACAGTGAATAACCGTAAATTGACATTCCCAGGATTCCCTGCGTTGCATTTCAAATTTGATGTTTTTTTTGTTGAAATAACTATGTTTCTTCTTAGTTTTTTCTTATCAGTTTTGTATATTAGGGTTGTGTGTTACACCTAATGTTGTTAAATTAATGTTTATTGCATTATTTCAGTTTCATGTGTGTTACCATGATGGTGTTTGGTGTTTGTGTGAATGACACTGTGTGCCTTCTGTATATGTTATTATCTAAAAGCTGCTTATGATGGGCTTTGGTTCATCATGTGACTTTCTCATCACCACCTGCATTTGGTGGTTATCAGTGTATTACAAAGGTGCAAAACAGATTTCAGTACTTCAATAGGCTGGTATATTAACATTATTTCAGTTAATGAAAATACGGTATTTAACTGTAAATTTAAGTTAAAACCGTAAAACCTAAAACGTTGCTACCGTATTTTTTACGGTAAAATTCTGGCAACCACAGCTGCTGTTTTTTTACCGTAAATTTTACGGAATTTTTTTTACAGTGAATGGACTGATTAATGTGAGTTCAGCTGAATCATGAAGATGCAGATACTGAGAGTCTTCAAAACCCTCTGTTTGTAGTGGAGGAGAAAGAGAGAAGGGGAAAAAAGAAAAGATAACGAGGGGGTTGAAAAATGGGGAGAGGAAAAAGAAACAGGAGAGAAAAAGAAAAAAGGGTATAAAAGAAAAGGGGAAGAATGTGGAAAAACAAGGGGGAAGGCAAAAAATAAGAAAAGAAGAAAGGGGAAAGAAAAAGGTGAATGACAAATGGAAAAGAGGAAAAGAAAAAGGCAAAAAGCAAGGGAGAAAGAAAACTGGGATAGAAGAAAAGAAAGGAAAAAAGCAACAAAAAAATGGAAGAGGGGAAAGGCAAAAGAAAAAAGAAAAAGGGCAAAAGTAAACAGAAAAAATAGGTAAAGAACAAGAAAGGGGGAAGAAAAAGCAAAAGTGGAAAGGAAAAAAGAAAAGGAGAAAAGATAAAAAGGGGGAAGAAAAAAGAAAATGTGTGAGAATGGGGAAGGGGAAATAAAGGGTAAAAGTAAAAAGAAAAGAAATAGTGGAAGAAAAAATGGGTAAAGAACAAGGCAAATGGGTAAAGAAAAGTGAAAAACAAAAGTGGGAAAGAACAAGAAAAAGGTGGAAAGAAAAAAACGTTTTTTTTTTGCAATATATAAAAGGAAAAACTAAAAAGGGGCAATTTAAAAAAGAAAAGGGGAAGAAGAAAAAAGTGGGGAAAGAAAGATGGGGAAAAAGGAAAAGAAAAAAGTTTCGTTTTTTTTTTGCAATATATAAAAGGAAAAACTAAAAAGGGGCAATTTAAAAAAGAAAAGGGGAAGAAGAAAAAAGTTTGTGAAAGAAAGATGGGGAAAAAGGAAAAGAAAAAAGTTTGCTATATATAAATTATCTGGCAACAAACAGAAATAAAAAACAACTATCCATTATTTTTAAGATAGAAAAAAGAAGGGGAAATGAGAAAATAAAAAGAGGAAAAAATAAAAAGCTAAAATGAAAATAAACAGAGGGAAAGAAATTAAAAAAGGAAAAAGGAAATATTTTTTTTTTGCGATATATAAATGATAGCAACAACAACAACAGAAATAAAAACCAACTCTCTATCCATCATTTCTGTGTAAGAATTTATTTAGACTTTATAATAGTTCACAACATGCAATATACATGTACATCTTTTACAAGCGACCAACTCAAGGTCCTCCATATATTAAATTTTGATCTCTATTTACATATTTTACAGTTTCATCCAGTCCAGATTTCTCACAGAGAGGTCAGTGTGTGACCCGTCCAGAGATGAATGAGGTTGGTCAGTGACAGCCGCAGCTGCCGGCCACCATATCATCATACTGCTTCAGCACCACGTTCTCATCGTCGTCAAAGTACAGCAGGTTGATGCTGAAGAGCTTGTCAGGCACGCAGCAGGGCGTCTCGATGCCTTTGGTCAGTTTGAGGGCGTTGATGATGGACTGGACCGTGGCGTGGTTGGTGGGCCTCATGTTCTGACCCAGAGGAAACGGACAGGAGCCTTTGCAGTGGTAAGCGTTGTATCCTCGCGGAGACACGATCCACCCGGACCAGCCGATCTCCTCGAAGTCCACGTAGAGCGGCAGACGCTGACACGGCATCTTCTCCCCGCTCTCATCATAGTCTATGGAGCGAGCGCTGCGACGGGCCGCAGCCGGGAGAGGGAGGCTGGGAAACGGGAGCCTGGGAGAATCATCTGAACCTGAAGACAAAGACAAATCGTTTATTTTGCCCCTAAATATGATCATCCTTGTGCAAGGCACCCTCAACTTAAAATGTGCAAGTCAGTTATGTATTTTCATGTAGAAAAGACCCTTTTTATAAGGCGAAAAATGAATATTTCTTTAAAACATATAATAGAATTATATATTTATAATGTGGAAAATATTGTTTCAAAAATATTTAGTGTTACTATATTATCAAAATACTATTTTTTTTTAATATTTTGGATTAGTTCGAATTTTTTTTCTTTCCAACTACATTTTAATTTTTTAAGTTTTAGCAAATTAGTTGGTTTATTTGATTTTATACATTTTTTATTTATTATATTATTAATTATTTTCATATAGTAGTATGCATATTTTAAACATTTTAAGTTAAAGTACTTTTTTTAGGGTTTTAAGTTTTAAATTTAGTTAACTATTCTATTACATTACTACATTTTTTCCCTTTAGTACTATATTAGATGCATTATATTATTTGTTTTATTTATTTAAGCACGTTTTATTTAAATAATTAATTTTTATGTACTATAACATTATTATTTTTATTTACTATAACACTATTTTATTATTTACTACATCACTAATTTTATTTATTTATTGTTTAATTTTTACACAGTTTTTTTTACTTTTCCAAGTTTTTTTATATTTTATTTGCTAAATTGTTTCAAGCAACACATTTCTTTTTTTTTAAGATTTTAGTTAACTATAATAACCCTGTTTCTATTACGTTAGTACATTTTTTTCCTACTCTTTGTAGTACTGTACTGTTAGATGTATTATATTAAGTATTATTTTTGAAACAACTTTTTAAATAATTTAATTTAGTTTTGTATTTATTTAGTATA